AAATGTGTGTTAGTCTACTTGCAATGCTTGGAGCATTGTTGCTTTGAAATTTGAAAACTTCAGAAAAAGCAAGTCAGAAATTGTCCTGCTATTAAAACTGCTTTATTTTCATTTTTTATACACAGCACATTCAGAAATGCTGTGATTAAATCTGCATGAGGGCCTTTTTTATGAATTCATTTTGTTATATAGTCCTGTGTGAATGTATAACATACTCAGAACACTGTTAGACTTTGTCTATAAAATGGACTTTGTATTATGTGTTGCACATGATTATGGTCATTTTCAAATTTACAAGGAAATTATAAACAAGATTTATTCTGTGCAAGCTGTGTTCAGTGTGAGTGATTAGTAGTAATAGTAGCCTGCAGTCAGTTGAGGTTTTTTTTTACACTCACAGATCCATCCACAGGTTTTAATTGTTTTGAATGAAAATTAGTCCTTTCAGCTTTGAGGTTTGAGGCTGTTAAGGTTTCTTTTGTAGATGATTAAACACGTTTAAATTAAAAGCCACAAGCACTCTCTTACACACTCACTAATTAGAACCATGTGCCTTGTTTTACCAGATGACATCAAATAATACAGAGCACACCATCCTTTCTGATTCACCTCAGCTGTTTGCACAGTGACAATAATGTGAGAATATTTCTAAGCGTTACATACTGTTGTGAGATAATATATACATGATTTTAAGAACAAAGAGTAAATAATTTGCACTTGTGTGTTTGTTTATTCATGTGTTAAAGGTTCCCTGTGGGGTTTTTGACCTCTAACAGTGCTACGGAGCTGCTTTTCTATGAGCGGGTCCCTGTTTTATTTTTCTTGTGCATGTGAACAAGGACACAGTTCTAGCAATAATGTCGCTCTATTCTGCTGACCAACAGGTGGTGTCATATGGAGGGCAACAGCAGTGCTATGATTGGCTGCAATGTGCCAACACAGTTGGGGAAAACAAAAATGGCAAAGTAGTAAACATGTATGTAAACAATTCTGCATTTAAAATGCTATAGACATTGGCTTTACACATGTTAACTGAGGAAGGAGAAGCTCTGGGCTTGTGTGTTAGACCACAAAGATACAGACTGAGTTTTGATAAGTAACACTGAATGTAAACATAACTTTTGTCTTTTTCAAGAAAACCCCACAGTGCCCCTTTTGTTAATTTGTGCAACTCAACTGTGTACACAATTTTCATTTTGCATTGATGTTCACATTAATATATGTGTAAGCATGTGAGCAATAAAATCAAATGTATAATCTTTGACATATTTACCCATGATTACTAAAATATTTGTAAAGATACAAAGATTCTGACATGACGTGTGCCCCTTCTTCATCTCTGGAGCGGTGTGTCACTGTAATACTGGTGCAATAGCACCATCAAGTGGCTTGTGGTTAGTTAAGTTAATGCTGCTGTACACATGACATTCGAAGAAGATTTTGCCATATAAACCAGAGTGTACCAACATAAATCCAGAAGTACCCAAATGCTGAGAGCAGTAAATACTACAGAATGAACAATATTAGCATTTTTACATATATTGATCTAGTTTGTAATATCAATGATGATTCAATTTGGTGAAACTTGGTGAAGATTTTACATCACTTTCTTTGGTTAAGGATCTAACAGCAATGAATGACAGAAAAACGGTGGATTATTTGTGTTTTTTCATTCTGTTGTGTTTTTCAATGATAGTCTTCTGATTTTTTTGCTTTCAAGTCACTCTCTTTCAGTGTCAGTTTTTTTGTTTGTTTGTTTTGTTTATGCCAAATCAGTGACAGAAAGTTGAAACTGAAAAAGAGATTGAAAAATGAACTGTCATCTGAAAAAACTAACACTGAAAAAAGTAAAAAATAAAGAGATTGTGATGTGAAAACACATCAGACTACAAAAAATAAATAAAAATAAAATAAAACTTTTAATGCCTCTGTTTTATTATGCCTCCGCGCTGGCAATAGCTGTGGAATAATGTTTTCAGGTTATCCATCCATCTGTACATATGTACGTACATCCCATCCTTATGACCACAATATCTCATGAACACCTCAATGGAATTTCTTTAAATTTGGCACAAATGTCCACTTGAACTCAACAATGAACTGATCAGATTTTGGTGGTCAAAGGTCAAGGTCACTGTCACTCTCAATTTTGTGAATGCAATATCTTAAGAACACCTTCAGAGAATTTCTGTAAATTTGACACAGATTTCCACCTGCAAGAAGATTTATCAGACTCTGGAGTGGTGGTGCACTGTTCTACTGTGCAGCAACACCTGTACAAATATGACCTACATGGAAGAGTCATCAGAAGAAAACCTTTCCTGTGTCCTCACCACAAAATTCAGCATCAGAAGTTTGCAAAGGAACATCTTAACAAGCCTGTTGCTTTTTGGAAACAAGTTCTGTGGACTAATGAAGTTAAAGCAACACAATGGAGTTTTTGAGCCCTCAAAATATACATCCTTGTGATGGTACATCAACTCACAATAGGTTGGATGACACCTCCGTCATGCATTGCTCCTCGTCATATCCCCCTCCTCCCTTTAGAGTAGCGTAGCCGAACCGAGGTGAACAAAGTTAGACGTGGTTGTCATGGCTGGAGCGACAAAGAAAAGAAAGAAGGTGAAGGTGCTGTCCAAGGAGACAAAGAAAAGACAACAGGAGAGCAATAAAACAAGAGCTCGAACAAGGATTAAGATTGGCCCGGCTTTCACACGCTGGAGAGGGGAGAGGAGAAGGGCTGCCTGACCAATGGTGACCTGGCGCTGTTACTGCTGTCCCCCCTCTACTTAGGAGACTCACTGTCTGCAGGTCGGCAAGAAACATTTCATCTTAAATTTTTGCCTTTTGGAAATCAGTTCATCTTCTAGTTGCTCAGCTACCCACAGTAAACAAAAATTTGGTCTTGGTCCCCTTGGTCTTAAGAAACCTTGAATAATACATATATAATACATCAGTTTAAACTTATTTACCTTAACATTAAACAGAGATGACATGGATAAGAAATCCATAAAGTGCTTAGAATTTTTTTTAAAATCTGAATGCTACTCAGAGGCTACATTGATGTTTGGCTAAATTTCGGTTGTGATATCAGGTGGCCAACATTCATTGTCTTGACAGTGTCTAATGCCAACCTCAATATGACGTAGAATACTGATGATAGTTGTGTTGTTAGGTAACCAAAATCCAATGTCTGCAAAAGACATAATGTTAACATTCACACAATGTGAAATTCTAACGTTGTTAGACATTTAAAATTGTAATTTTTCATTCCAGCCGAACCCAGGTGGCATCCATCCATCTATCCATTTTCTAACCGCTTATCCTCTTGAGGGTCGCGGGGGGGCTGGAGCCTATCCCATCTGACATTGGGCAAGAGACGGGGTACACCCTGGACAGGTCGCCAGACTATCGCAGGGCTGACATGTAGAGATAGACAACCATTCACACTCACATTCACACCTACGGACAATTTAGACTCACCAATTAACCTCTCCCCAATCTGCATGTCTTTGGACTGTGGGAGGAAGTCGGAGTACTTGGAGAAAACCCACGCTGACATGGGGAGAACATGCAAACTCCACACAGAAGGGCTCCCACACCTGGGATCGAACCACGAACCGACAGTGCTAACCACCACACTACCATGACCCAGGTGGCATTCTAATGTTTATTCACTGTTTTTTTTTTTTAAGATGATTTTTATTGGCTTTTTTGCCTTTATTGATAGGACAGAAGGTGAAATGGGGAGACAGAGAGAGAGAGAGAGAGAGAGTGGGGACTGACATGCAGCAAAGGGCCGCGAGCTGGATTCGAAACCCACGGCCGCTGCAGCAAGGCAATGCCTCTGTACATGGGGCACCAGCACTATCCACTACGCTACCAACGCCCCATTTATTCACTGTTGAATCAATCCACCATGGTTAAATCACTGCTGAATTATGTTTTATGATTTTTTGGGATGAATCAACGTTGATTTTGCAATGTTGTTTGAAAATTTTTAATCCTTAAAAATGTTTCAACATTGTTTCAATGTTGAAACATCAGAATGTTGACTCATGAGAATTTTGTTAACCGTTTTACAACTATAAGAAATAAACATTGTTTCAAAGTTGTTTTAATGTTGAAACAGCAACTGACATAATTTCAACCACAATTCAACCTTGAAGGTCCATCGTGTGCCAGCTGGGAAATTTAATGTCTGTTCAGTGTAAGAGTCCACTGTTTTTCTGACGTCATATTGATGTCCGGTGCCAGCTGGATACATTTCCGTGAGAGCTCCATTAGTTGGGGAGGATCGTGTGATGTCATCAAAAGCTCCACAACAGCTACTGAGAGAACCTTGTGGTGAGACTGTTTTTTTTCTTCAACTATGTTGATCATTAAAATAACAAAATAACAATGAAAACGGCATTAACAGTGATCGTTATATACCTAAAACTGTTGTTTAATGACTACTTTTGAAATTAAACAAAAGGCACAGCCTTACTTTTTGTTAGAATAAACATTATTATTTGTGTATGTTAACTATTAAAAAGAAAATGAAGGCCATATCTGATGTAAGAACCTGCAGTGACACAGAGCTGCATGAGAGGTCCCTTTACTGGAGTCTAACCCACACTTTGCATTATGGGTGATGTAGGCAGGAATCAGGGAATCTTGGGAGATGTAGTGAGCAACTGTGTGATTAGCTGCAGTGACAGACCAAATGAGAATGCTCAGCCAAGAGGAGGGTGCACATTTCCAACTCAACCCACTCCCCCTACCCTGTCAGCTCCAGCACAGTGTCACAGTCGCCAGCAGCATCTTTATTCCTCTCAGGGTCTTTTTATTCTTTTTGCTGGCAGGCCTAGCTTTGTGTCCCAGTCCCAGTTTCTCTGCATCTCTCCCAGTCTGCCTCCTTGTCAGAGCTCCACTGAGCACGCAGTGCCTGCGTCACTCCTTTCAGCAGATGGAGAGGAGGAGGAGGGGGAGGGTAAGAAAGAGAGAGGGGGGGGGGGGAGGAGGAGGAAGAGGGAGCTCTATGTCTCTCCTGCATCAGCGTCAACATCACTGCCACGCCAGCCTTCGTCACCAGAAAACAACAAGGAAGATCGTCGCACAACAGAGATATGAAAAAAAGCACCAGCAGCTCCTCCTCCTCTTCCTCCACCAGACGAGCATCCACAGATTAGGCCAAGACGGTTCTACCTTTTCCAGGCACAGGCATCTTAAAGCTACCCAAGGCAGGAGGAGCTCCTATAGGCATGACCTGAGGGGAGGCAGGAAAGCATCAAACGCTTATCATCAACATGGGCAACCAGGAGGCTAAGCAAAAGAAAGCTGCAGCAGCATCGGGTAATGGAAGCTACCCTTCGCTGGATGAAGGATGGAGAGAGGGAGGAGGGGACATCACAAAAAAAGGAGGAAAGAAACTCCACAGTAAGCATGGAGGTAAAGGAGCAGGCAGCGGTGGAGGAGGAGGAGGAGGAGGAGGGGGGATGCATGGCACAGGACCAGGAAAGAAGAAAAACAAATCAGAGTCCAAGTCCTCTGTTTTCTCCATCCGGAAGAGAAAGGGCAACCTGAAAGGGAAAGGAGACGCGTGTTCATCAGTAACAGGCTCAAAGGAGGACGTTTTAGCATCTCAACATGAAGAACTGGACAGCACAAAAACACCTGAAATGTCTGCAGATGAGCTTGGACAGTCAGACACTGAGGCCGAGAAGAAAAAGAGACCAGAGCCGGGGAGAAAGGATGGAGACGGACGGGAGCAGAGGCAGGAGGTGCAGCGGAAAGCCTCAACAGCAGCAACATCTCCCGCAGAGGATGGAGGGCAGAAAGGAGGGAGCTCAGGGTCGGACACAGATATATATAGCTTCCACTCAGCAGCTGACCACGAGGATTTGCTTGCAGACATCCAGCTTGCTATAAGGCTTCAGCACCAACAGCATGGGGGGGTTAACTCAATTGTGGAAGCACAGGAAGGGGGCGAAAGGGATCTGAGCTGGGGAGGAGGAGAGGAGAGGAGGAAGCAGAGTAATGGGGTCATTAAATTAACTCCTCCTGAGGTGCTTGACCTGACCCCAGAATTAGAGCTGGGCTCTGATGCCCTGTCATTCCTAGAGACAGGGACTCTGTCTGGCTCTGTCAAGCACGCAGACCAGCCTCCAGCACCACACCTCCCTTCGTACACAGAGGTGCATGAGAGGAGGGAGGAGAAGGAAAAGGAGGAGGTGGAGCATCCGGAGCTAAATGGGAAGGGGCAGAGGGAGAGAGAAGCCTCTCTTTGTGTTGCCACAGGCACAAAAGACCAGCATGCTTGGGTGCAGCAGCCCCCTCACACAGACATCACCATGGCTACTGTAGGGGGGGAAGCAGTCAGCCCTGTCGCCATGACAACCAGCGCTAACAGCTTCCCTGATCTCACATTTGACAGTGCTGGGAAAACCTCAGGGGACGAGGAGGAAACTGGAGGTGAAGTAGAGGAGGAGAGGGAGCCTGGGGTGGATGTGGATCTCAGTCCTCCAACCGCAGACAGCCACATCAAAAGTCCAGAACCCACCGAAGTGCTGAGCTCAGGGACCGTGTTTGGAGAAGGTGAGGGTCAGTTGGGCTCGGGTACCAGTGCAGAGTCCCTAGAGGACTGCCTGAGTGCTGGATCCGAATCCCACCACTTTGCTGCTGCCAGCACCAGTGCCTCCCCCTCCAACCAGGAGTGCAGGAGGAGCAGCGTGTCCTTCCTGCCTCCCCAGGAGAGCCCCACCCTAGCCAAACGACTCCTCAGGTCCACCCACTCATCCACCTCCTCTAGCCCTGTGGTGAAACCCTACCCTCCCATCTTCCCCTCCTACATCAAGACTACCACGAGACAGCTAAGCTCCCCAGGACAGTCCCCAGCCCTGTCCCCCTCCCACAGCCCCCTGTCCCCGCGCAGAGCCAACCATCACCTCCACAGGTACCTGTGGTGTTGTAACATACATTTAATTTTGTTTAATTTCTTGCATGAAGATATAACTGCTCATATGATGCTTTTTAACATAAAGTTGGATTTGGTTTTAACCAGACTGTATATGGACGGCACAACAGCTCCCCAGAAATGAAGTGAAAACATATTGATCGACCCCTGGTGGCTGGCTGTAATATAGGTCATAAGCCCTGCAGCCTCCATGTTAGCAGATAGAACATGGGCCAAACTAAAAACTCAAGGTACATGTAGGTAGGTTAGGTGGCTCTTTTCACACTGATGTATGTTCAAGTGTTAGTTTATCATTTAAGTTTGGTTTTAAAAAGTTATTTGATAAATATATAAAGGGACTGTGACATCATGATTGACAGCTTGCATGAGTCAATTGGTGCGCTTGTGATCAAAGGTGCTGCCTGCCATTGGATAGGACTAGTGTAAGGGCCGGGACTCAGTGGCGTAAGGTAGTCATGATGGCCCCAGTGCCAGATTTGTGGCTAAATTAGCTACCATATATTCCAGCATCTCATCACATGATCAATTAAGGAATTAACACTGAACACCATAACACACCAGCAGTCATCTTTGTATCATCTGTATATGGCAAAAATACCAAAGAAAAAAAGTAAGTAGAGTAGAGTTGTATGAGTAACTATGTAGTTCACTTTTAGCTTTTATAGTTTTTGTAGAATAAGCATAACATTTTGACATAGATTGCTACTGACTTGGCCTTCTTGACCTTTTTGAGGGCATAAACAGCAAATGGCATACTTTTTGTTTAACATGGCTTCTTATGTAATTACAGTTGTATCTTTGAGGAAGCAGTCTGAATTGTGCCCATTCTTCTCCCAACTCTCTATAGGGCCCTTTACCCCACGGGCCCCAATGCAACCACACTGCTTGCACTGTCCATATTTACACCTGGAACTTGACATCACAGCTCCACTTCCCGATAGCTACCATGTATATTCTGGGTCCAAGTGATGTCACAGCGCAAAATGGCAGCCCCTCCCCTATAACTGTGATATTTTGGCTTCATTTGTGTACAGTGAGAGGAAGTGGAGGTGCGTTGTCCGTCTTTATTTACAGTCTATACCATAGCCATAAATGGTTTTAACAGTCATTAGGTGATGTTAAGCAGCATTGTGGAAAACATGGATTCCCTTTGTTAGATAAGGAGGATATTTACAGTTTACTACAATTTGGGTCTTATTGTAGTAATTTTGGGCATCTTCCCTTATTACTGGTACTCAACAATGTAATTAATTGCTGAGGTCTGGCAATGTGTTGATGCTAAAAAGAAGTCAGACAGCAAGAAGAAACCTAAAGAGTCTGATAATCAGGCAGGTTGTGACCAAAACCCCAGATTGGTCAAACTTGGAAGTCAAAATTGCAAAATTATGAAATTATAATGGAAAGCTTCGTGATACGTGGTTGAACTCTGACCTACTGTTCTTGCTGCAATCTTTTTGAGCAATGAGGGATTATTAGCAACATTTCAGGCGTGGTTGGGATTTTATCTCCAAATAGAGTGGTTTACATAACATCTAAACTGCTGGCTTTTTAAAAACCTGTCTGATTGACTGCTTGTGTGTCTTGCCATGTAATGGGCTAATGTCACCATGCTCCCAGATCTCAGCAATACCTTAGTGAATATACTGTTATCAGAACTGATTGAAATAATACCCAGAGCTATAGAAATAAACCCACAATATAATAAAGTGAAAATGAACCATCACTTAGCCCCGCCCCCAATTAGTTACTGTTGCAATGCCTGTCAAACATTTTATTTTCACACTGTACATCTGCAACAATAGCAGTGGCATATTTACTATTGAAATAGGCAAAAGCAGATGATCATTTTGGAGTGTCTGTTTTGCTGACTTATATTGTTTCTGGTAGATTTCATTAAATGTAGTTTAGCTGTACCTAACTAGCTAGCTAACTAACGTCAGCTCTTTGAGTTGGCTGAAAACCTGACTCGTAAGAAAATCAAAACCCTGGTAAGATATCTTAAATATCATTTTAATAACTACATACATGATATTGTGTTGACTTAGTGTTAACTAAGTACTGTGTATGAAGCAAAAACCAAGAGTTCCCATGTAAAAAGTCAGTATCCTCACTTGCTGTTGATCAGTGAGGAAGTCATGAAGATAATGGGACAGCAATGTTCTTCTTTTGCTGGTAGAGCTAGTGATCCCTAATATTATGCAGTACTATAAAGAAACATACTCGTTCAGAGGTTCACCACAGAAACACATAAGTAAAAGCAACAGAGACAACCCAGTCACCAGAAAAAAATGTTGGCATATACATTTCTGCAACCCATGGATATCCTACATTGCATTTGCTTGAAAATTTACATTTCAGCAATGCTGTGGTTAACGTGTTTAGGCATGAAAAACCACTTGGTTATGGTTAGGAAAATATAGCACCCAGATATGGGGGAAACCCCAAAAAACAACTGGTTCTCGTGGCACTATTCCTGCTGTGAAAATGATGAGAGGTTACAAAACATCCACATTTGGTGCCTCAAAAGGCAGCTGGAAACAAAGTAATGACTCCCTAAAACACAAGCGTTTTCTTTTGGTCTCAAACAGTGGTCTGCAGCTTTGCAAGGGTCTTGCCTAGCTTACATGCTGTCCACCATCCCTCCCCCTCCCGGTGACCAAGTCAGCTCATATACCACGTCTCTTTAGAAACAATGATATGATATGTATGAAATATATAAATGTAACGCACTGGGCTGACACAGAGGCACGATTTATGCTGTTAATATTTTCAAACGGTGTTTCACTTTTACTTCAGAAAATACTTTAAGGATGAGGACTAACAGATGGGTGTAGATGGCTCTTTATAGAGCCAGCTGCACACCACTTCAGAATGTGAAAGACTGACAGGCCTGCCATATGTAGTTACTGTTGCTAAGCTGGAATTGGATAATTGCTGCTTGCTGGAGTGGTTAAAATGGATGTATATTGTTCACAGCTTCTAAATTGGAGGTACTTACACCACAGTTTTACAGTTTTTGGATTTAAATGATCAAAAATTATATCAAGAATACTTTTTCCACAAATAGCTTAAATATTTCACATCAGTGATGGAAATACCATTCAAGTGTTTTTTCACAAGTTAGCACTTTCACCAAAATCACTTAAAGGGACAGTCCACCCCACAATCAAAACTACATATTTCTCTTGTGCCATTTATCAGTCTAGATTGTCTTGGTATGAGTTGCTGAGTGTTGGAGATATTGGTCATGGAGATATCTGCCTTCTCTCCAGTGTAATGGAACTAGATGACTCTGCTTATGAAGCTCTCAGTGCAAAAGAAATACAATTAAAAAAACTCGACAGCACTGTCTCTTTCAAGAAATCATGACCTGGTTACTCAAGATAATCCACAGACCTTGCTGTGAGCAGTTTTATTATAGAAACTATCATCTTTATATGGCATTACACGTGCCAAAGAAAGCGCAGCATGCATAATCATGGATGAAAGGCCTGTGCTTGTGACCTGTGACAGTAACTACCTCAGGTGAGCAAGCAGTAGCCTCTCATCCATAAGTAGATGCACACTTTTTTCTGTGTGGTGATTCATTTGGCAGGTGTAGTTTGTAAGAAAGAAAATCCTTCCTTCAATTAAACTGCTCACAGCAGTCTGAGGATTATCTTGAGTAACCAAGCCATGATTTCTGGTGAGAGACATTGCTGTTGCGATTTTCAAATGTATTTCTTTGGCGTTTTGAGCACCACAAACTGAGTCCAAGTCCAAGAGAAGGCAAACATCGCAAAACTATCTAGACTGATAAACAACATTACAGGTAAGAGGAAAAATATGTATTTTTGATTTTGGGGTGAACTGTCCTTTAAGCCCCTTACAGACATGCACACACCCCTTTACATGAATCTGATGTCTCATTCTCAACTCTCCTGCACCAGGTGCCAGCATGCACACAGCTCTTTTCATAAATATCCTGTCATGTCAGAGTTGTAAGCAACATTAGTGTGAAAGTCACCTCTGTCTGAATGACAAATAGTCATCACTTTAACAGATAGATGAGCCAGCAATGTTACATATGTTACGTCTGGAAAGGGCTTTACAGTATACCTACCTTTTCCTCCTCTAGACCAACGTTTCTATCAATTGCCACATAGTTTAAAAGTCAACTTGTGTTGACACAATATCCTGATGATATGCGTTCCTTCACTAGCTAGTATGATGCCTGCTTTTGTTGTTGAAGTAACACTAACCTTTGACTGCTTCAGAGTAATGAAAACAAAAATGTGAAACACCACAGCATACTCTGAAAAATAGTCTGCATTAAAACCACAAGATTCATACTGAATAGACAGCAAAATGCCAAGAAGACTGATTTGGTCCTTCGAAAGCTACTTTTATTTTATCATTGTAATTTGGCTTGTGTTATTTAACTGTATGACTGTGATCTGTTTTCAAAGTAAAGCTAACCTGAAATGTTAATGTTGACAGGACGATGGCTGAGGGTCATCAGGTCCATAGGCAGCGCTCTCGAAGCCTCGCTGGGCCTCTGAGTCGCTCAGCTGACTGGACGGAGGAGCTTGAGAGGAGGATGAGGAGCAGAGAGGAGGATGGAGGAGGTTCAGGAGAATATTTGGTGGGCTACAGAGGAGGAGGCAGTCAACCCATCTGTGCTACCAGAAGATCCTCCTGTGGACAGGTTTCTACCTGCGGCTTTCAGGACATCTTCACAGGTGAGTACAGAGCGGTCTCAGTTTCAGATCAGATGATATTTATTGTGTCCCGAGGGCAAAAACAAAGAAGGAGACCTAATTTAACAAGTATGCATTAACAGCTCTGAGGACACACAAATATTGATTGTATGCTGTTAACCCGGATGTCTTTGGATTTCTTTAGCTAGACATCAGCAACCACAATGACACTGCTGATTCCAAGCACCATTATCTCTGACAGGATGTACACAAGCTGTTCCACCTCAGTAGTTTTGGAACAGCTGATTAATATCCTGTAGATTAATCTTACAGTACCTCCGTTGTTTCTATAACTACAGGTCAGTGAAAACATTATTCAATAAAAATATCAATACATGGCAAGCATAACCTCTCTGGCGCATTAAAAGCATGTAGTTAATCCTCTAAAATTAGATGTTGTTGAGCTTTGGCATACTGCAGTTAGCATTTGTGTCAACTGGTTTTCTATCAATAAATACATAAAGGTATTTTTAGCTGGAGAAGAGCTCAACCTTTTTTCATTGATCTATGTCTGCTCATGTGCTGTTCCTTAAATTCACAGAATTCAAATAAACACAAGAAGTTTGTGCTCTAGAGAAAGGATCAGCACTCAGTGAATAACCTCCTAAGCCCTATGATAAGCTATTATGGCAAGGCTTAATTACACAGACCAGTGAGCAGTGATAACTAACATGTCTTTGGGGTCATCGGGTGGGAACCTCCTTTCACCAGTGTTTCGTCTAGTTGGTCCCACGACACCTCCAGGAGGCTAGACAGTGATCTCTGGCGTCCCAGAGACACTCCCCTAATGCCAGGTCTCACTGCTCCCCACACCAACCAATAACCTCCTTTACCTTACTTACGCATGGCTTTCTCAGCCCAAACAGCACTGCCACCTTCAACCAAACTCAGGCTCCATACATGCGAGCTCCAGGTAGAGACAGTGCTGATACTACCTTTCCTAGCACATTCACCATACTCTATTTCACACGCTACATAGCATAACTACAATATAAGCTAAAGTTAAAGGAGATAAATAAACTTACAGGATCAGCAAACACATTCACCTTGCAGCATGGTCTCAAACAAAAGGAATTCAAATAGGCCACTCCCACACTTAAATAACTTTCCTCTTCCTGGATTTCCTCCTGAGAGGAAGTGGATCTCTCCACCTGATCTCAAGGAGTTATGTACCCTGCTTAGTAGTTCCCCCTGCTGGCCCCCAACTAATATTATTTCTTCACTTCCTGATCCATTGGCTACATCTAACTGCTTCATCTGACATTTCCTTCACTGCCTTCCTCAAACTTTGTCCCCACACTCCGAGTTCCCCCAGGAGCGAGACAGCTGATCTTGCTATGAATCCCCTACACCCCACTTCCACTGGACAAATCCTAGTTTTCCATCCTCGCTGCTCAGCTTCTGCTCCTAAGTCTGCATATCTAAGTTTTTTTCTTTCATAGGCTTCTTCCACTGAGTCTTCCCAAGGAACTGTCAGCTCAATGAAATAAACTATCCGTTGACTCACTGACCACAACAGGACCATGATCCTAAACACATCTTGAAATCCACATGGACTACCTCAAGAGGTGCACGCTGAAGGTTTTGCCATGGCCCTCACAGTCCCCCGACCTAAACATCATTAAAAATCTGTGGATAGACCTCAAAAGAACAGTGTATGCAAGACAGCCCAAGAATCTCAAAGAGACTAGAAGCCTTTTGCAGGAAGAATAAGTAAAAACAAAAAGAGCTGAAAGACTCTTAGCTGATTACAAAAAGCATTTAGAAGCTGTCATACTGACTCTCGTCAGTGCATTGGTCACATGATTGCAGCATTCCCCTTTACATGCAGTTGATCAGTTGTCACATTTTATCACTCTACCAAACTGCTGCCACAGTCATACTACATTTTCAGGATTACAGTAGAAGTTTAAGTAGTTTAGTTATCTGAACTCCACTGATTTTTTAGATCAAAGTTTTTAGGTGTTCAGCAGTATTACTGCATATATGATAAAAGGTATATAAAGCTTAGTGTCTCCAGAGGGAGCTTTGTGAAATCTGATAAATGTCTACAATATGTCACACTCTTTATCTCTGCACGAGGCTAGTGACCCGAGGTTACATTAGATGCTACTTGCTACTGTACCACACCCAAAGTTCATGCCAAACTGTTGTTGTCAGAGAGACGATATCTGTGGCTCTGCTGATTTTGATCCTCTTTTTAACTGTCCATAGTGAATCTGACAATGATATAGGAGTGCAATGCTAACTGGAGTATTCTGGATGACATATACCTGAGAAGCTAAATTTCCAGAACTTGACAAGGGGAGTAAAGACACCTGATTTTGCAAAGCTAGATTTCTGCAGAAGACTGATTTCTTGGCCCTAAGTATCCAACAGAGTTTCTACTCCACATTTTAGTTGTACATACGAGCTTATGCAAGACAGGGGCAGGATGGAAGGAAATAGGATTACACAATATATCCTTGTATTCAGAATACTTTCATTAAAAGTTTTTAAAAAAAACTGAACAAAGCTTAGCCCTATGGGCCCGAATGACGCATAGTGCGTCCAAATTCACACCTGTTCTTCTCTATTGATTTTCTCTATTGATTCACGTGATATGCATGGCATATCACATGAAACAGCGGAATTGTAGCTTTCCGACAAGACCAAGCACTTGTCGGTAGTCCAATGTTTTCACAGCAAAAAAAAAATGATAAAGTTACACTAAAATTATGTATAACAGAGCTTCCATACAGCTCTGCAGACACATAACTCTTAGATGGATTACTCGCAAATGCAGGCTCGCACAGAAATGCCACGCATATCACATGAAAGCGCAGGACTAGAGCTTTCCACTGATACCACACACATCATTGTGCTGTCATCCCATCATGCTATAAATCCAGATTAATTGTCTACAAAATAAAAACCTGACGAGTTTCTTTACAATCCATTATACAGATCTTGTTATCAGTCACTTCATATAGTGAGGAATATCGTATCTCACCACGTCTTAGGCTTGCGTGTGTTTCTCCCTGTCTATCCACATTTGTAGTCTGGCTTTCAAGATGCAAATATCTCCATATTGTCCAGTTGACACTCCATCAAACTTTGTATGACAAGACAAGCGCACTTCACCTTTGTGCACCCAGACAACTGCAGCCTAATTATGTATGCTGACAGGGCAGTAGTCACCATATACATTGAGGGGGACATGTGTCCCCCCCAATGCCCAAAATGCCCCCCAGTATATAACTGAAACTGAAAAACAACAACAAACTTTGTTTAATGCAAACAAAGTGGCAAATATTATCTTGGAGGACATCATTGCACTTGGTTGACTATTTTTCTATGATCTTAGATGTCAAGCTCAGCTCACATCTCAGCTACATCAGCTGATCTCAAGCAGCCCAATCAACTGATAGAGCTGCTGACTGATGGAAGGGAGTCAGCTGATAGGTCACATGATTCAAATGGGCACTCTCTTTCATGGCACCCTATTTAAACTGTTTAAGCCTGCCTACTGCCGCAGCCTGTCCTCCACCGCGGCCCCTCCTTTTATGTAGTGTCTGACTTATCAGTGTCATTTCTGTTTGTCATTGATGCTGGCTCTGTTCTGTTTCCAGGGGGTCTTTGCTGCTGCTCTCCCTGCCTTAGGCTTTCCGTGTAGGCGCATGGAAGCACAGGGAGGATTGCTCTCTCTGCCTCATGCTTTCCTTGTATGCATGTGGAAGGGCAGAGAGATGTGCTCTCTCTGCCTTAAAGGGCCAAACATGTGCCACATCTTTAACTGCCTGGAAAACGTGAGGTCATGTGCTGGATGCTACTCCTGTACCTTTTTTTGCCAGCTTTTAAGAGCTGAGGTTGCTAAACAACCTTAACAAGCACTGTATCATAACCCATTCACCTGAAATCCTGAGTGCAGAGCTGATCTTCTTCCAGGTGCTGTGTGTGTGTGTGTAGGCCTATTGTCCGTGGGAGAGATGTAAATCTCTGGCAGTCCTGCACTAAAATGCTCAACTTCTCCATATTTATCACAGAATAATATTTATGGAAGAAGGGAAAGAAGTCCATCAGTGGTGATTGGTTGGTCCTTGTCACATGACATGCAGTGTGTGCTGCTGCAATCCAAAAGTTGAACTCTTTTTATATCAGGGTGCAGCCATTGCGCTCGAGAATGCGTGAGCACCACAGTGGCGTTGCTCTGGCTTGCATGCCGCGTGTCTGTATTAAAAACAATGAATTCAAAGGCACAAGAAATGCGGCACGTGTACAGCTCCTAAGGCATTCCACTTAGGCACGTGAAAGGGCGGAGAGGTGTGCTCTCTCTGCCTTAGGCCTTCTGTGTAGGCCCAAGGCAAGGCAGAGATGCCCCAGAACAGAGCTATACCATCAGCCATAATACTGCAAATGGGCATTAAGGTTTCTTTGACTATCAATGTCCTAACTGAACTGAAATTAACATAAAGGAACCTTCAGTTATTTAAGTACAAAGAGTTGACTGTTTGTTAAATACAGACACATGTATGTTCTAAGTATAAGTCTTCTTACTCTGCTGTCAATCCAAAGGCTGACAGTAACAACTTACTCCAGTGCATGCAAACTTGTCTTAGGAACTGCTTTATCAAATGCAACAGATTATACTATTCATAAGTAGTTATTGTTGTCAGGTTCTCACATATAGTCACATAGGTTGTGTTTTCTTCACTGGCTGTCCAGGTCGAACTCTTCTGGAGAAGCTGTTCCTGCAGCAGCAACAGGAGGAGCCGGAGGAGGCTGAGAGGCTCTGCTCCAGGATCTTGGCCATGGGTCTCCTGCTGCCTTTCACTGACTGCTTCAGAGAGCAGCTGGGAGGCAGCACTGCCCACATCACCTCCACAGCAGCAGCCAAATTTGACGTATGTAGTCACACTTCATACACCTTTTGCCACCTGTGCACCTTGGTTATGTTTGTTGTGCTGTGTTTTTATGTATTGTAATGGAGGCCTTTTTGTTTTTATTTTGTGTTTAAACTTCATTAGCATTATTACATTGTATTATAATGCAATGTTGATAATGTATTATAATTTGATTGATCATTATTATCATCATAATTGTTTAGTTTGTTGTGAATTTTTTGTCCACCCTTTTGCGCACACCAGTTTCACAAGTTTGCAGTTTGTGATCTGCTAATTGCAGAGTCTACCCACCAGGAGCATCCATCATTGCCTGCCAGTAGTGGTTGTGGCCTTACAAGACCATAAGCAAATAAGTGGATTTTCTCACCCATCTATGCATTAGCAAAGAAGCATTGTGGCACAAAAGCAGCCTGGTCTATCTGATTGAAAGGAGATGTGGATGTGATGTGATGAGATACTTCATGCTCATCTCTCAGCTCAAATCCACTGCATGACGTGAACTTGCTGGCTCTCAGTCTGTTGCTCAAACTACAGATTGTACTGTAACCACAGACACAAAAAGAGTAGAAGCGGATCTCAAACTCAGATCAAACTCAGATTAAACTATAAACTAAGCAGTGCTGATCAAATATAAACCATGATTCTGTTACTGCACTGCCTATTTCTTGCTTGCCTTCAGAAACATATTTGAGGGCATTGTTTTGCTGTAGTACAAGACTTTGTAAACAGGAAGTGGGCTCCATGCTGTTTCCTGTATTGTAAAAACAGAGGCTGAAAAAGCTGAGCTCAACCTGTATAACTAGGCAGTGCTGATAAAGTATGAACCAAGATGCTGTTACTGTTTTGCCTCAAATGTTTTCAGAAACATATGTTATCCTACAGTTAAACTGCATTGAGCAGGAGTGGTTATTGGTCCTGTGTGGTGCAGTACATATACCAACAATACATACACAACAACATACATACTACAATACACATATTGCTGCATTACAATGCAAACATCACAACTTACACCACAATACATCTACTATAATAGACATACTACTATACACATACCACAATACATATACTAAAAGAGTGGGTACAGCTCTGATTTGTTTTAGCTAACACTTAACCTTTGTTGTAAAGGATTTCAAATCTGTAATCAGTTTGATTTCCGTTAGTAATATGTTCCAGAGTTGACAGCCCTTCATGGAAGAAGCTGAATGTCCAAATTTAGATTTACGATATAGTATTTTACAATTGCCATTCACGCTGCTCCTTGTTACTCCATTATTGGCTTGTCTTTGAGTTCATCCAGAAAGAGCCTCTGGATCTAGACTGTTGATACATTTGAAAACTAATTTCAGGAAACAAAAGTTAATGAAGCTGTAAAAGCTAAGAAGATTGTATCGCTCTAATTTGTGACAGTGATGCCACCGGAAAGGCTTTTTGTCCATTATTTTTTAGTACCTGATTGTATTAAGATGTTAGGCATCTGACTGTAGATGGTGATGCTTGAGCCCATACTGTAATGCAATATGGAAGTTATTTTTCAAAGATGTTTGAGTCCAGTCTGGATATTTTGGGGAAGAAAATCTGTCTTGCTGCACTGAAATTTTTTTTTGCAGGATGCTGAGGCAAAAAAGTGTGTTTCTACCTTCAGAGACAAATTACACACTGCATGGCATCAATAAAGAACATCCATAGTAGTAAGTGCACTGGCCAAGTAGCCATCTAGCTGGCTGTTGCTCTGTGGTTTTGAATTAGTTCTTCTCTTCTGATGAGCTGGAGTTGTTACCTGGGTGCTGCACTGATTCCTGTTCCATGTTCATTTATCTAACTACCTCATTAAAATATGAATGATATTGATACGACTGCTGTAAGATGTAACATTAGTGTTGGCAGGCCAGACATTGTAAACATTTGGGGGTCAGCCCAAACCTAGAGGGGTCTGTTGGCATGTTCCCCCGGGGAGATTTTTTACAGCGGCTTTGTGCACTATTTTTCAAGCCCTTTGCCTAAAAATATGTACATCATTTGGGGGAAAACCTGATAGTTGCCAGGGGGAAAAAAAATCATCCTGTAGAGCCTACATCGTGTTTTGTATCTAACCGGTCTCCAACTGTCATCATTCTGAAACCATAACACAACAAATGTTGAGGATGACTCATTTTCACTCCTGTCTGATGTTACAAATTTTAAGTTACATAACAAAGGTAGGGGAGGCATGTGGCGTAAACAGTGTTACTCATCTTAAAACCTATTTATGTTATACAGTGTTGAGGTAGAGTTCAGAGAATGAAGAAGAATTTAGCTGACAAATCTGCTACATTCGAATCCATACCATAATAATCTAGGCTGCTCTCAGTGCTATATAAATGTGGTCTTCAGTACTCTGATTTGGATATTAGGCCAACAGAAAAACATTCATGCAATTATATTAGATTTGTTTAGAGAATAGCATATATAGACATATATTATTATCTAAATGACACAATGTTGTAGCAGTCCTCGTGGAGTAGCAGCCAAAAAGTGCTGAAAACAAATTCTGCTTCAGTAAAATAGTTTTGTTTCCCCCAGCATGACCAGCTGTATACATGGGCCGCAGTTAACCAGCCGCCTCACTCCCTGGATCCTCTTGAAGGGAAAATACTACCAGGGCAGCTGAAGGGCCCCTGGCCTCCAACCAAACCAGGCGGAGACAACAGGACTGGACTCAAATCCACAGAGGCAGGTAGGGTCAGCACTTACACATGGTATATGTTCTCTCTCTCTCTCTCTCTCTCTCTCTCTCTCTATACATATATATATATATATATATATATATAACATGCTGGCTACTTTCTTAATTGCATCTTTTAGCTTTGCTGTCCAAAAATAATTGACAAGGTGCTGCAATTTTGAGAGTCCTCAACCCCTAAAATTAATTAATATGTCAAGCCCTTCTCACAGTGTTTTCACTAGTGGAAATGACAATTCCACGTGTCAAAATGTCCTTTTGAGTAGTTCAAATATCTGTAAAAACAACTTTGACATGTTACAATTACATTTCGACTATAGTCAAAATTGATTTTCAGATATTTTTAATTTAATTATAGACATCAGTACTTCCTCTTTCACTAGTAAGAATAACGATCACAAATATCTATGAAATGTTATTACCTATTTCAGATATAACCCTAAACCCAACCCCAACCCTAACTATTACATTTCTGGTATGTCCAACATTTCAACAAACCATTTCAGACATTTGGGCATTATATCATTGAAGTACCACAAAGCCATTGGTCGACTTTTAAATTGGCATATTAAATTTAGATATTTACATACATCACACCACAATGACATTGTGACTGGTGGAAATTCCATATTTTAAATATCTAAAATTCAATTCTGACTAGTTAAAGCAACACAATGGAGTTTTTGAGCCCTCAAAATATATATCCAAGATCCTTGTGATGGTACATCAACTCACAATAGGTTGGATGACACCTACGTCATTGCTTGAGAGCGTATGTTTCACTTGCACTGGCACTATGCAGTTTCGGGGTTCGAGTCGGAACCAGGACACAAAAAGGACTACAAAATTTGGCTGCTTTACAGCATACGTCATATCCCCCTCCTCTCTTTAGAATAGCGTAGCCGAACCAAGGTGAACAAAGTTAGACGTGGTTGTCATGGCTGAAGCGACAAAGAAAAGGTAGAAAGTGAAGGTGCTGTCCGAGGAGACAAAGAAAAGAAAACGGGAGAGCAATAAAACAAGAGCTCGAACAAGGATTAATATTGGCCCGGCTTTCACACGCTGGCGAGAGCTGAAAGAGGAGGAGGGATGCCCAACCGATGGTGATCTGGCGCTGTTACTGCTGTTACCCTCTACTTAGGAGACTCACTGTCTGCAGGTCAGCTGCCTCAGGTACATTTTAAGATAAAGTGTTAGCCTACATACAGACAGCTTTCATTTTAGTTTGTCTTTAACAGTTTGCTGTTAGCACTGCGAGCACGATGTGCTTGTGTCGACCACAAACGTAAATCATAATAGCAGTGAATGAGAGACTGCGGACAGAGCAGATTGAAATATGTCATTCTACATGCTGATCACATGTATTGATAAAGTATTGGCTTGGCTGGCAGAGATTTCATCGCACTTACTCACAGTAACAAGCGTAGTTGTCGTTAACTAGAGTAATCTTGAAGTTATATTCCCTTCATCTGCACTGGGGCCTCTCTGCTGTTGTCTGACTTCACTCTGATGAGTTTGTGTGTGTGTTCGCGTGCTGTGAGGAGGAGGTCAGCCCTGAGAGTGAGCAACTCATTTCTGAGTTTCAAAAATGAATAAATAAATAAAGCAATCGGCCTAATCATGTACGTACAAAATGCTCGCGCAGAAAGATTTTTGCGACAGTTGTAACAGACAATACCGTTTTTCGTCTGTAGGGGGACCCCGTGAGGTAAAAAGCACAATCCTCCATTGTGTTGTTTTAAGGCTTCACCGTTGTACAGCCAATGTACTGGGAGGTAACTGAGTTGTTCTTAATTCTTCAGTTTGTTGTCAGTGTTCAAAAATAAGTTATGCGCTGTAACTTTTTCTTGATAAACAACGTATCCATCCACCTGTGTCAACTGTCTCGAGCTACACACACAAACTAAAGATTGGTATTGATCATCTTATCTCACTCTTGGAGAGACAGTAAATAAGAATATATAATAAGTAAGAATAAGAATACATTTTGACTTTTTCCTTTAACAGGAGGTCGATAAGCCCTTTGCTTCAGTGTTCAGACGTTTCCAAGGATCAGCATGAATTGACCATGCTTAGATGAACTAATGGACATATCATGACTACTTCGCAAATACACATCCTGACATATTTGAATAAGTCATCGAGTGAATCATAAATCACACAAAAATGTTACTCGAATGATTGTAATATTTCCTGTAATAAATGTCATATACTCCTTTCAAACTCAAAACCATACTGTACAAAATATTCCAAATGACATCAATGTATTAGATTCATATCATTATTATGAGATTTGGTGAGGAGTGTGTGTGATTTACAACCTGTATTTTGTTGTATAGTTCTGGAGAGATACAGTACAGGCCAAAAGTTTGGACACACTTTACTTTCATGACTATTTACATTGTAGATTCTCACTGAAGGCATCAAAACTATGAATGAACACATGTGGAGTTATGTACTTAACAAAAAAAGGTGAAATAACTGAAAACATGTTTTATATTCTAGTTTCTTCAAAATAGCCACCCTTTGCTCTGATTACTGCTTTGCACACTCTTGGCATTCTCTCCATGAGCTTCAAGAGGTAGTCACCTGAAATGGTTTCCACTTCACAGGTGTGCCTTATCAGGGTTAATTAGTGGAATTTCTTGCTTTATCAATGGGGTTGGGACCATCAGTTGTGTTGTGCACAAGTCAGGTTAATACACAGCCGACAGCCCTATTGGACAACTGTTAAAATTCATATTATGGCAAGAACCAATCAGCTAACTAAAGAAAAACGAGTGGCCATCATTACTTTAAGAAATGAAGGTCAGTCAGTCCAGAAAATTGCAAAAACTTTAAATGTGTCCCCAAGTGGAGTCGCAAAAACCATCAAGCGCTACAACGAAACTGGCACACATGAGGACCGACCCAGGAAAGGAAGACCAAGAGTCACCTCTGCTTCTGAGGATAAGTTCATCCGAGTCACCAGCCTCAGAAATGGCAAGTTAACAGCAGCTCAGATCAGAGACCAGATGAATGCCACACAGAGTTCTAGCAGCAGACCCATCTCTAGAACAACTGTTAAGAGGAGACTGCGCAAATCAGGCCTTCATGGTCAAATAGCTGCTAGGAAACCACTGCTAAGGAGAGGCAACAAGCAGAAGAGATTTGTTTGGGCCAAGAAACACAAGGAATGGACATTAGACCAGTGGAAATCTGTGCTTTGGTCTGATGAGTCCAAATTTGAGATCTTTGGTTCCAACCGCCGTGTCTTTGTGAGACGCAGAAAAGGTGAACGGATGGATTCCACATGCCTGATTCCCACTGTGAAGCTTGGAGGAGGAGGTGTGATGGTGTGGGGGTGTTTTGCTGGTGACACTGTTGGGGATTTATTCAAAATTGAAGGCACACTGAACCAGCATGGCTACCACAGCATCCTGCAGCGACATACCATCCCATCCGGTTTGCGTTTAGTTGGACGATCATTTATTTTTCAACAGGACAATGACCCCAAACACACCTCCAGGCTGTGTAAGGGCTATTTGACCAAGAAGGAGAGTGATGGAGTGCTGCGGCAGATGACCTGGCCTCCACAGTCACCGGACCTGAACCCAATCAAGATGGTTTGGGGTGAGCTGGACCACAGAGTGAAGGCAAAGGGGCCAACAAGTGCTAAACACCTCTGGGAACTCCTTCAAGACTGTTGGAAAACCATTTCAGGTGACTACCTCTTGAAGCTCATCGAGAGAATGCTAAGAGTGTGCAAAGCAGTAATCAGAGCAAAGGGTGGCTATTTTGAAGAAACTAAAATATAAAACATGTTTTCAGTTATTTCACCTTTTTTTGTTAAGTACATAACTCCACATGTGTTCATTCATAGTTTTGATGCCTTCAGTGAGAATCTACAATGTAAATAGTCATGAAAATAAAGAAAACGCATTGAATGAGAAGGTGTGTCCAAACTTTTGGCCTGTACTGTATGTCAGCAGTGTTTTTTCTGATGTTGTTACCTTGCCTTCAATAGTCTCTCACCCTCTACAAAAGGAAAGTGGAACTTGACAAAGACAGGGTGCTGCCTAGCAGATAGAGGGGAGCATTAGTGTCAAAGCCAAGCTATTCAAGTGTTTAGAACTCACTGATGATCTAATCTGCATTCAATTTTATTCAAGGACCCTGACCTTTGTGTTTCTTTTCCCTTTTTTTCTTATCTCATCTTCATGTCAATGGGGTTTTTCCATCTTCACGCTTTGGCATTATAGAAGACAATCAAGGTGAGTAATAATTTCTGTATGTTGTAGGCTGTATTTTTGTGCTGACTGAAAGCTGGAGAAATAACAAACACTAGCAGACTGACATTGTTGTTAGGTCCCAGGCGAAGATTTGTCTGCCTGTTTGATAATATCATGACTTAAAGTCAGCCTACCTTTCCATGGTGGGTGTAGTGTCACAGCTGGTGATGTATAAATGCGGACTTGATCACAAAGTAGGCTACAATACTTGTATCCACTTTGCCCATATTTGAGCACACACTTTTGTCCAGCCAGTCTGAGCTCAATAGTTTTGTGGATTTGGTTGGTGAAGATAGGCTTTTCCAATATCATATAAAGCTCCTTTATGTGGGCTGAGTTTGGCTCTTTTACTTTCTAATTACTTACCTAATACTCACCTACACAGTAACAGCATGGTGAAAGGGATTTCATTTCTTAAAGAGGACTTATTATGCTCAGTTTTACATTCATACTTACATACAATTTTGTGTGTCTACTGAAATGTGTTTGTATGCTTTAATTGTCAAAAACATTATGTTTACATGCACAGTTAAGTAGAGCTATGGATATTGCTCGACTAGGCCATTTAACTCCTTGCCCCAGTACACAAGCACAGGAGGGGAATCAATTTATTGACCAAAGTATGTCCAACTTAACTACAATAGGTGGTTATATGCCTCCTTTCAGCTTCTTAGTATTGGATCTAGGTCACTATTGCATGTTTTTCTCCCATCCATGTATTTTAAAATATTTAACTCTTTCAGCTGACACAGCATGAACCGTGTCTCCTTGGTTGCACAGAGCACCCAGGCCAGTTTGGGTCCTGACTGTATACATATAGGAGTGATTCAAGACCCAATCGCATTATCTGGGTGTGTTAGTCCGTCTTTTAGAAATTCAATTTAGTATCATTTCAGTCAGACTAACGTGTATTTTAAAAGTCTGGTTTTAGTCCGGATGACACAATAAATTAATCTTCTCTAATGTCATGTAAATGTTTCATTTTTTCCTCATACTGTCTGTGCTGGAACACCTGTATTCACCCTCTGTCTGAGACACTTTGTTTTAGTGCCTGTCTCTTTAAGCCCCCCTCCCACAAAAGCCCTGGCTGCTTTGATTAGTCGGTGTTTCTGGGTATAATAAATGAATAATAATAAATAGATAATACATCATCTTTTAAAATAAACAATAAAAGCCTCTAAACACAATATATGATCCAAAGTCAGGAGAAATTAATATCAGAAATCAAGATTACATGTTTTCCTGATATTAGCAGTGTACTAGCAGCTGAGGAATGACTGTGTATGGTGGCACTTTCTCCCATTAATAATCAGCTATAAAAGATTGTAAAAACAATGGACAATAATGTTCAAGCAGGAATATGATTCAAAATTGGGGAGAAATAACAACACCAGCAACCATGATTACAGGTATTGTCACTAGCACGTAGCTACACGTAATACTGTCGGCTACATAATGTAAACATTTGCAGTGGCATGCCTTGAGTAGATACACATATACAGAAATCCATCACAAGCTGATGTCATCTTAAAGCCAAAGTCGAAAAGAATATTGAAAACAGTGTTACAAACAGTCTGAAGTCTGAGGATTTTACTCACAGGGGTTTATTTTACGTATGTTTACCTAATTATTTGCAATTTTGGCCACATTTAGTTTAAACATCTGACATGATTGTAACATTATATATGACAGAAAATAAGGAAAACCATAAAGGGTCTCCTTTAAACATTCAAGAGAATTTTAAAGGCATATTTGAAGTGCTAAATACTCAGATTATATTTGAATAAATTGGCCATACTCATGTTGCACCTACATATGTAACACACACTTTTTCCCTTGCAACAAGCTTCACTACCACAGAGCCTAATTTGTTCATCTTACATTTTTGTTTTGTCTCATCTAAAGTTTATATTTGTCATATTAAACAAGAATTGATGAGTCACCCTCCGTAAAGCAAAGATGGTTTAGACACAAAGTCCCTGAGACAAATAATGTGTGTAACGGGGCGTCGGTAGCGTAGTGGATAGTGCCGGTGCCCCATGTACAGAGGCAATGCCTCGCTGCAGTGATCGCGGGCTCGACTCCAGCTCGCTGCATGTCATCCCCCCACTCTCTCTCACTCTCCCATTACACTCTCTCCTGTCAATTAAAGGCAAAAAGCCCAAAAAATAATAATCTAAAAAAAACCTAACCCAAACAACTACACTGTTCTAATGTATTTGTATTTTGTGATGTTTTGTATTTTGAGATGTGAGCTGGTTAAACTGTTCAGCCAATCAGCCTTCAGTAGAGCGTGCTACAAACTACTTCTACAGTAGGCCTATAACATGTAGTAATGTTCTCATAAGAACTTAGTATAATTAAAGATATTGTCAGTGGGACCCTGCACTCTGCCCTGCTTGCTTTCTAAGTAGAAAATACTGTAGCAGATTGTTTGTATTCCAGTTCACCAGCTAACTGGCCTATAGGTCATGTGACAACAACAGCCAGTTGTGAATTTTACAGTATGGACAGCACTGAAAATATGAAAGCATAACAGTTGAATCATTCCAAGCTTGTGATTTGAACTTAAAAAGTGTGGAAAAATACTGTTCTTCAGTTTGAATCTTTATTACCTTACAACTGATCATGTTATTTAGGCAGTGCAGGCATTCATCATATTATCCACATCAGAGTCACACGTTTATTTGTGGTGTGACGTGTGCAATCAAATGTGTTTTTGTAGCATGCCCTCAATTAAATATGCACTTCATTTAGGTTATTAAATGTAAATACTCTCAACTAGTGTAACATAAAGAGTGACAAAGTCCATGTAGGGCGGGCAGGCGTTGAGATGGCTGGGTCCATCAAACTTCAAACTTTGAGTCCAGCCCGCTGTTCATTTCCTGTGTGAATTTTAAGCCAAACCATGATGTTGTTTTCTAAACCAAATCATGTGCTTTTGTTGCCTAAACCTAACCATGGAGCTTTGTTGCCTATACCTATAGGGAACAGAGTGTTTGACCTACTTTGTAAGGTTATTTTTAGGCTATGTGCATGTGACTAGTAGAAACTTTACATTGAAAAGACACAATGCATGTAACAAGCGTATTGACGCGCCATTCCTTGACATCCGAAAGTGACTTGAAACTTTCCACCAGAGAGGGCAGCAATGCTTTTTAATGTGGTGTTAAGACCATCTGCATCTAATTTGCTCAATCGGACATTCAAAGTCACAAGATCTGATAACAGTAAAAAAGTGATGCTGCTGTTTAATGTACTACTGACTTTTAGCTATGTCACTGGGAGACACTGGTACTGAGTCAAGTGGCCATGTCGTCAATCACTACATGTCAGCCTATGTATGTATATGTGTAACTTTATACTTTCATATGTTCTCTTTTGCCTAGAGAAGAGCTTCTGCTAAGTGTCTCTGTTGCACTGTATTGTGCTGACCTGCTATTTCTGTTTGTTCAGAACACCATGCAGCCAACTTGGGTTTGATGCAACAAGAGAAGGAGAGCCAACAGGTCAGTCACTTGATTTTTTTCTAATTTATTGAAAGCTGGGGCTTAAATTTTCCAGCAAAATGTACAATAGTTAACAGTGTTGTGCAAATGCTTCAACAAACCTTGAGATTCCCCACAGTTTGCTGTGCTACAACAGGATCCCAGCAGAAAACATTTTGATATAGTTTCTCTCTGAGATTTGTACAGAATTTTCCTTTTTTAAACCACAATATTTGATTGAATTTTCGAGAAAAAAATATAATTCAAAAAACTCATGGCAGCAAAAGTAAAGAAAAAGCCAACCGGCTGACAGTCAGGTGCCACTTATTTCAGCCAATTTTCTATTTTGCATTACTCTGTGTAACCTATAGCATAGGCTGCAATATCAATGCATTTTGATTGCCCTCTCCAGCCTTTATTTCTACGTATTTCTGTATCGTGATGTTGTTGAATATTATTTCTGGCCTACACTATTCAAGTATTGTTTTAGTGGGCTGCAGTAACTGTTCTACATACACATAAGTTCTTTAGTCCTACAACCTACAACGTCATGTCCGTATTGCAATGAACTGTGGGCAATTAAATCAGTGAAGTCTGCATTGCCCCTTGTGGACTGGTTGAATTGTGGATTTGGATTAAGCACACCCAGACTTCCCGGTAACGCGCCCACAAAGTCCAATTCAGCCTTTGATTCCACTGTAAACACACCCAATCTTTCAACTGCACGGTTTTATCATGAGATTGCACTTCTTTCAGAAGAACACATAAACCAGTGAAGTACACTGACACTCAGATTTTCAGAGGTTGAATGTAAAGTACATTTACTCAAGTACTGTATATACAATTTTGATACTTTACTTAATAATATTTACATGTAATGGTACTTAATACGTCTACTCCACTACATCTTAGAGGCAAATATGAGCCTATGCTTTTGACTATACTACATTTATTTTAAAGCCTTAGTTACTGGTTACTTAGTGTAGTTTTTTCTATTTTTTTATTTTTTCATCAACAATCTAAATTTGCTGAGAGGATACATTATCACAAGTTGAGCCACCCAGCAGTATAAAAAGTAATTAAAATGAGTACTTGGGAAAACATTATGCAGAGATCTAAGAGTGTGGATACATTACGTGAGTCAGGGAGTACACAACTAATGCAAGGCAGTAAAGGAAAGAGTGAGCATTAGGCATTTACAGGGGCACTGGAAGGATGCCAGTCTACAGTGCAATGCCCCCTGCGGACCAGGTCTGCTGTTCAGTTTGGGAGGTAGTTTAGACAAGATGCCCACAGCTTACAAAAACCCCTCAAAGTCCCCCTTCAACACTGTGCTCAAGCACTCCATCAAGAAACCTTTATAAATTTCTTCATGCTACTGGTTAACAGTAGGAGGTCTGGGATTAATTCATTAAATTAAAATGTAGCTTGTTGCTAAAAGAGTTTGTGCACACTTGTCAAAGAGAGCCCTTCAGCAGAGACAAATCAAGATTCATTTGTATTCCCTTATCAAAAATCGAATTAAGTTCCTGTGAGACTTTTTTCCCCAGAATCAAATATGAGAGGGCAGCGCCAAATGCAGCGAATGTCCATACTAGGGTTGCAACAGTATAAGATTTTCATGGTACGATAACCATCTCAGAAAATATCACTGTATCATGGTATTACATAATTATTATTACTATTAGTTATGACCATTTTTTAAATGGAGGTATGTGTTAACAATCCCTTTTGAAAATAACTAAAATAGAGGTGAGATTCTCCTTCCAGTTGCATTTTTGTAATACCGTAGATAAGCAAATAAACATGGTATGATAATCATCAGTTGTCATACCACGGTATGTATTAAAACTGGTATACCTCTGAAATCCTAGTTTATACAGTAGTTTCTGTTGCACTGAAGTAAGAAAGGTCTTAATGGACTGTATAGGGAGTGTAATGGATTTGCATTAAAAATCATGAACACATTGCAGTGTCGAACATAAGGCTCAGATAAAGGTGGCTTAAGAGCCTAGCACTTTCAGTTTCAATAAGCAGTACTTTACTGAAAAATACATGGGGGTACTTTGACATAAGTTTGGCCAGTCCAATCTGACAAGATAAATGCCACTGATCGCACGATTCCATTGAAGTTTTTTTTTCAATTTATATTTAATTATTGTTATGGAGGTAAAGATTGCTCCTTGAGCAAGAAACTGAATCCCAAATTGCTCCCAATGGACAAACCAGCACCTTGCATTGCAGCCCTACCACTCTATGAGTGTGTGAATGAGTAAATGAGAAGCATAACTGTAAAGCACTTTATCCGCTAACGGTGCAAAAGTGCAATATTAATTACATTCACCATAAAGAGTGAATCAACTTTAGATTTGGAGAGGTGATAGAACACAGCTGCACTGGCCTCTATGGGTTGTCTTTTGCACCTCTGACCGCACCTAACATCATAGCTGGATGTGGTCAGCTGTGGTCTGTTTTACTAGTGACCACACCCAGATATGATGTAGCTTGGTAGTACTACAGTACAGTAAAGTACAGTACAGTAAAGTACAGTACAGTACAGTACAGTACAGTACAGTAAAGTACAGTACAGTAAAGTACAGTAAAGTACAGTACAGTACAGTAAAGTACAATACAGAAAAGAACAATACAGTACAGTACAGTGCATCACTGCTGCAGCACAGGATAAAACTTACCAACCACAAGCCAGCAGAGTAACCCAACAAGAGTCTACAGCCATGCTATTCTCTCTCTGAGGCTGTACTTAGAGTTAATTGCTAATGATGATTTTTTTTTTGTTAAAGATTTTTGGGGGGGGGGCATTTTTAAGCCTTTAATCAATAGGACAGATGAGTGTGAAGGGGGGAGAGAGAGAGAGGGAGTGACATGCAGCAAAGGGCCACAGGCTGGAGTTGAACATGGTGTGCCTGCTCTACCACTAAGCCACCAACGCCCTGCTAATGACAAATTCTAACATGTTGATGTTAAGAAAGTAAAATCTTTACCATGTTCATTAGTGGTTCCACTAATGCTATTTTTGCCACAAATTCAATAAAGACAAAGACATCTATCTACAGACATGCAGACCAGTGCTGTATACTCATCATAAGAAAATTGTCATCAAAACACTGTTCATTAACATAGAAATATTAACTGTATGGACAGTCGGTGCAAAAACTTATGATATGATATACCCTATCAAATCATAACATACAATATTTTGTTGGGTTATTTTCAAACTAGAACTTTTTCTCAACATATTCTGGCTTTATTCTCATAAAACCATGATTTTGTGTACATAATATAATTCCTATTTTTTTGTGTCATTTGTTTTGTCAAACAGATGACAGCTTGACAGCTCCTCGACAGCTGATTGACAGCTCTCAGAAGTTGCAATGGCAACTGACAGTGCATTCAAGTGACTGATGACCAGTCAAATAGAAATAATGCAAATATTAATTGTTTACATGAACAAAATAAAATAAGATAATGCTTTATTCGTCCCTCAGTGGATGGAATTTGCAACATTACAGCAGCAGAAGCAAGCATCTGTAGAAAAAAACACAAAGCAATATAGAAGTAGGTGTCACTAAAAAGATACACACAGATCAGTATGAAAAGTAAACTGTACAAAACAATGAGCAGTATAATAAGCATGCATAATAAAACCCAAAGCAATATAATAAGTAAGCAGCAAAAAGAAGCAAAATATGACAAAGAGACAGGCTGAATGGCTGATTTCACATTAGTGACTGATGGAAGTATAGATTTTGCACTGTTTAGCATATACTCATATTGCACCCGAGTGATGATTGTATACAGTAAAAGATAAAGGCAAGATATAATCAAATAAATATTCATAAAGCTTACTCGCAACAAAAGGACATAACTATAAAATGGGGTGGCAGTAGCTCAGTCCATAGGGAGTTGGGTTGGTACTGGAGGGTCGCCAGCTCCAATCTCCATATAGACCAAGTAAGGAGTGTGGACTGGTAGCTGGAGTGATGTCAGTTGGCCTCCTGGGCGTTGCCAAGGTGCCCCTGACCAAGGCACTGAACCCCCAACTGCTCTGGGTGCCTGTCCATGGGTAGCCCCCTCACTCTCCATTTAATGCATATATAGGTCCTGTTTGTGCGTGTGTGTATTTCAGGCCTGTGTGTATATCAATCAATCAATCAATCAATCAATTTTATTTATAAAGCCCAATATCACAAATCACAATTTGCCTCACAGGGCTTTACAGCATACGACATCCCTCTGTCCTTAAGACCCTCACAGCGGATAAGGAAAAACTCCCCAAAAAAAAACCCCCTTTAACGGGGACAACAGAGTAAAAAAAAAAAATGAACTGAGTTGAATTTGAAGGTATAGTATAGTCCAAATAACAATGGCAGTGAAATGCACATGTAATTTTGTGAATATACTGTATTAGAAAATACTATGTATGCAGTTATAACTTCAAAGTAAACTCTCTTCATTGCAAAGTAACAAAAGCAGAGCTCTCTGTGTCAGTGACAATAAACTTTAGATCATAGTTTTTTTTTACTGAGAGAATGATTCTTCATTTGCCAATAAACAGATTGAACTAAGAAGAGAGCTCAGATTTTTGTCTTACCATTTGCTTCTCTCATATCTGCAGGAGGAGTGTGTCCTTCCTTCAGCTAAACTGAAGGAGAAACACGTCAACGTCATCCAACAGCTGGAACAAACCATAGAGGATCTCAGGACTAAGATAGCTGAGCTGGAGCGACAGCCCCCTCTGCTGGACAGAGACAGTATGAAGCCCACCACCTCCACCACAGACAAGGAGTGTGGAGGAGAGGAGGGCCTGCTGAGGGTGGTGTGTGACGCTCACCTGCAGACTGAAGCAGCTCTGGCTCCAGGCTGCCTGGAGGCCAAGTCGGTGCAGACTTCGCCCATGGACGACAGCTTTAAGTTTAAAGTGCCTTGTAGTGAGCCGGGTGGAGTCAACGGCTTCCTGCAGCCTCCACCCAGGCAGGACGGCTTCCAGTGTTCATGTCAGCTGCAGCCTCCTCCTCCACCTCCGCCTCCACTTCCAGGAGGAGCAGTACCTCCTCAGTGTCTACCAGGACAGATTGTGGCACCACCTCCTCCACCACCTCCTCCTCCACCATTACCAGGAGGCTCAGTGCCAGCTCCTCCACCTCCACCTCCATTACCCCCTGGTTTGGCAGTTCCTACACCTCCACCCCCACCTCCTCCTCCTCCACTTCCTGGTGGCCTTGCTCCACCCCCACCACCTCCTCCTCCTCCACTTCCTGGTGGCCTTGCTCCACCCCCACCACCTCCTCCTCCTCCTCCTCTCCCTGGTGGCATTGCTCCACCTCCTCCTCCATTACCAGGAATGGGAGGTCCACCTCCTCCGCCACCACCTCCAGGCTGTGGGCCTCCTCCACCACCTCCTCCACCAGGAGCCATCTCGGTACCCCCTAGTCTTCCAGGGGCTCTGGGCTCCCTGCCTCCTCCTTTGCCGTTGGGGCTGTACGCTCTGGGTCTGACCCAGGAGAAGCCACCCAGGAAGGCTGTGGTGGAGCCTCCCAGACCAATGAAGCCCCTCTATTGGACCAGGATCCAGCTCAGCAACAAAAAGTAAAGATGGTGTAGTTAAAAACAGCCTCCACATGATCATGATTTGATCAGTTTGTATGAATTTACTTACAGTTTGAGCCCAAACACAATATATTCTACATAGAGGGGGAGATTGTGAAAACATGTGACGCAGAAAGAAATTACAGTTCTAGCACAAGGGGCACTATTCAAACAATGTATGGTCTAAAGTGCATGGTGCAAGTGCATTTAGGGTGTGTCCAATTCCACTTCTGCTGGTTAAATGGCACATATTATGGGCATAAAGTAAGGTGCAAGTGACAAAGGGGTTGATTAAATCTCTAAATCATAGGTGTGTTTTGGGTGTAACATGGATTCAACCAATCAGAATGTAATCTCCCTTTCCCTTTAAAAGCCAGGTGTGCCTGCACCTGGCACACTGCTATTTACAGGTGGATTTGGCAAATTAGTGCAGCCAAATGCATCCTTAGTGCATCCTGCATCCTTAGTGCATCCTTAACTCAAAGAGTGCAGCAAAAAATAAAGTCTCTCCTAAGAAATCCTAGGATCTATAACAGTGTGAAATGCCTGGGCAGTGATGTAAGCAATCAGTGTTTTGAGGGAGTAAAACATTCCAAACCATGTTCAGTCATAAAGAACAGAGCAAAAGTGATTTTGCAGAGTGGACTGTGTTTTCTCATAGGGTCCAACACTAATAATACTGAACAAATTCCCAAAAGAACAAACATTTGTACAAATTAGTAAAGTAAAATAACTGGTGACTGGCTATAATGAGACATCCTGATCTATGAGTGATCAGTGTGTAAGAGCAGTACAGCCTTTACCCACCACTGGCCTCTTTAAGTTGTAAAGTTTCTAATGCCTTAGACTGAAATGGTGGACAGCGTGTCCGAACATCACAGTCGGTAGAGCTATCAGGACTAAAACACATCCACTTTAAATATTAGAACAAAAGACCTCCCATGTTCTAATTTCCTTGATATACAAGCACTGATTTCTAAATGTACCAAAATAAATGTGAGGCAGAACACAGAGTTATGTAAAACTCCACATACAAAGCTAATTTTTAAGCTGTGTAACTGTGCAGTGCCCTAAAATGCTCAGAATGGATTTTAACACATGCAGTGTATTGAACAGATCACACTCACACTTAATGCAAATCTGAGCAAAACTGTGAAAACTTATTGAGGCCAGTAAGAGCAGAAGGGCTAATAATACTTAATTGCTGACATACCTACCATCTCTAAGTGTTTCTCTTGTGTTTTTCAGGGATGTTTCCAATTCATTGGTGTGGGAGACCATTGAGGAGCCTGACTTGGACTTTGAGGAGTTTGTAGAATTGTTCTCTAAAACAGCTGTGAAGGAGAAGAAGCAGCCGCTCTCTGACACCATCACCAAGTCCAAGGCCAAACAGGTCTGTGGGTTGTTCATACTGTACAAGTATTACTGTCACATTTATAAGGTCAACAACCAGTTATAGATGTTTAACATATTTGTTTTCATGTCTTTCTTAAAACTTACCTCATGTAACTTTTGGTCTCACTCCCTACTTGACTCAAGCTCTTCGCTGGCATCCCTTACTTCCGACTCTCTTCTTGTGCACAAATGGCCCAACTTTGACCAACAGCTGACCGCCGACTTGGTGTGCCAGGGCCTTTACTCTGCCTCTGACTGACTTATCCTGACATTCTTATCCTTACTCTAACCAGTCTTACCTCTTCTGCCTAAACCTGACCAACCCAGCAATCAAAGGCAAATAGTTCTAGCCAGTCAGAGGGAGAGTAGGGTGGGTCATGCCTTCACCTTTTTTAAAATCTTATTTTAGGGAAACTGACAATGCTGTGCACCCTTTATGACTCTGCCTGTCTTATAGACCCGTGTTCTTTGCGTTTACGCTAGCAATATGTTGTTACGTTGGAGTCGAAGAGTCAGATGGCTGAATCTAGATTAAAACACTGAAGGATCTAGCGATCGGGGGTTTAAACACAACAGAAAATGAACCACTGCCATGACTCTTTGCAGGTTTTATTGATTTAGCCTTAATTTAAACATGTTTGTCCAATCATGATCAATGATCTCTTTTAAAAAGGACACCTGGCCAAGAATAGCAGCAACACAGAGTTTCAATTATCATAAAAGCACATAATGTAAAATGTACATGTAAACTATTAATTAAAAATTGATAGTGTTTTTAAGAATCAATACATTTAGCAAAATATTGTAATACTCAAGTGTATCAATATTTTCTTATACACGCCTAGTACATCTGAGCTTTTGAATCTGACCTCATATCTTATGTCTGTGTTTTTCAGGTTGTTAAGCTCCTAAGCAATAAGCGTTCTCAGGCAGTAGGAATCCTCATGTCCTCTCTGCATCTGGACATGAAAGATATCCAACATGGTGAGTCAATCAATTCGATTGATATTTACATACAGCAATACAGGAGTCTTATTCCTGATGAAATATCATAATGTAGACATACAGGGGGCACTGACGAAAACATTCATCTCACTAAGTAAGTTTAGTCTCATATTTAGCTGTCACAGCCTTTTTTTTTTTGACCAAAGGAGAGAATGGTTCTGCTGAAAGGATAAGAAAACTCTCAGGGGACATCTTACTACCTAATTACATACCTCCCTATATATCTGTTAAAATATTTAGTGGATAGATATTCATCTAGTCATGACAAAAAAATCCCCAAATCAATAAAAGTCAGGAAGTGAAAGATATCGTGTTGCCAAACTAGTTGTTGTGGTATCAGTAGCACATCTGGTGCACATGTGCTTTGATGGAATGTATGGTCATTAGGGGTCATTAATAGCTGACTCTGGGTATAGTAACATCATGTGTACAAATTGCCATAAGTCTGATGACTGTCTGTTTTGCAATATTAATCTTTGCACAAAACCCAGACACTACCTGAGAGGATTTAGTGATCCTCCATGAGGACTCCGTTTATCATTTTCTGCCTTTTCTGATATTTTGTTTTGTATCTGATCACATTTTAGCAGCGAGTTGGCATTAGATATCTTTTTTGTTTTCAAATAAGATTAAAATTGACCCATGACCTAAACACTGACGTACACGTTGATCCTTGACTTTCACTGAATAGACCTCTCCTTCTCTCTGTCTTTAAGCCATCCTGAACCTGGACAACACAGTGGTTGACCTGGAGACCCTGCAGGCCCTGTATGAAAATGTGAGCAACACACACTCGCCACAGTCAGTTTATCTTGCTTGTCTCACTATAATATAATTTGAATTTATTAGAAGACTTTGAGGGTTTTGGGGTGTGGGACCCTAAAAAGGAAAATTTGCCACCTCTTATGTGGACATGCAGACAGTGTTGTTGATAAATGTGTGAATAATTCCTGCTATATTGACAGAAAGCTTAGTTCTCCTGCTTGCAGAGCCATGCTGGTGGTGCCTGCATGTACCAGCACGCATTATGCGCCAGTTACTGATGCCCAGTTAAAACATGTAACTAGTGTAACCTGCTCATGCAAGTCTTAAAAAAACACACACACAAAGAATCTATAGTCTCTCAGAGTTGTCACTGATAAAAGCATCCAACAAAAACTGCCCACGCTGAAATTCATTGCAGCAGAATGATTCTGTTGGGCAATTCAAGCAAAGGCACCACCAACTGGTGTTTGCTCTCTGCAGCTCAGGTTTTGGAGAGTCCCTGTTGGCAGGATTTTCTTGCACAGCTCACGCAGCTGAAGCTTCAGCTTCTCTCTGCTGCATTTCCTCAGCAGTATGCTGGCTCAAATAAATACAGCTGAATATCTGAGTCAACCAAATGCTGTACAAGCAAAGGAAACAACAAAATTCTGGAGCACAGCCCCTGCCTAACATTACCGATCCAAACTGACAAGGCTTGTAGTTCTTCTTTGCCTCCAGTTACATCAATCCAAGTCACTGGAGGAGGAATAAACAACAGATTTTGCAGGTGCAAACGTTGCTGTCTTGGTCAGTAATTCAGCCATGACTACTCAAAACAGAGTAACTCCTCGCATTTGGTAAGATCACTCCAGCGGTTACTTCCTGCAACAACTCAAATCTCGTGGGACGTGAGTGTTTTGACTTGCCACAACAAACATGTCCGAATTTTTATCTGATTTTGACCAACTGGATCTGGATGAGCCATTTGAATTTGATGACCGCCCGTGTTTATTTGAACACGGAGAACACGGACGTACACGGATGCAGAGCTCATTGAAACTGAAGAGCGGACGAGGAGAGGGAGGGAGGGAGCAGTGTGACTTTGGTAGCACATATACTAAAATTGCAACAGGCAGAGGAACATGTCCGAATCCAGCTAAAGGTAAACACAAATGTTCATTTCTCCTTTCCGGTATGTTGTCGGATAATTATACTAACAATCCGAGCCTATCTGTGTGAAAAAAATGCACTTTTAGTGGACGTATTTTGACGTTGTTTGACGCTGTCTGAGTGCCCTATTATTTAATATAGCGCACGCTCATGGGCTGCAGGCAGGTCAGCCCTAGCTTTGTACTGGAGAAATGTCAGATATTGAACATCCTATCACTCATTTAGACAAAAGTAGATTGGAAAATAGGGCCCAGGTTGAAAAAAACATTAGTTCTCCTTTAACTTAAAGTTATGGAGATTAGGTTTAGGCAAGTAAAGGTACGGAGGTTAGGTTTGCGGAAAAGCAACATGGTGAGGACGTACGTTAAAATCACTCAAAAAGTTCACTCAATGTTCACACAGTTCCAAACAGCGGTCTGCTGGGGAAAGTTCTGTGTTTTGTACACTATCCACCATTCCAACCTGCCTCCTAACTTGACCTCTTGGGACCACTTACTTCTTTAAGCAGACTCTATACTTCTGTGTTGAATCGATGCCATAACTACACCCATCCTACGCTGTAGCCTGACATACACCTCCCCAGAAATGTAACTACATGTCACAGGGACACAGAGTTCCTGGCTATCTTTGTAAGCTGAAAACCATTTCCCTCAGTGGAAACAAAGCTGAACTATACAGCACTTCACAGAAACCCCACCAACGACTAGTCTTTTGGAGGTGTAACTGCAGAGTGAGATAGACACGCCACCGCACGAGAATAAATGCTCACAACGCAGGCCACATGTGTAGGCTATGGCATAGGCTCTGCATAGAGCTGACACACAAGTATAAATCTGCCTGTAATCCCATTCGCGAATGAGCATCGTGATCACAGCCTTGATCCAGCGTACATGGGTTATGCACGAATCACTGGCTTATCATCAGGTGGAATATGTGGAAAATTTGGTGCATTACTTTTTATAGGAAAACATACAAACAGTGCATAAGAACAGATTGTTAGACAGTAATTTCTTGTTTACTAACTGTTAGACTGTTCACTGCCAACAATGGCAACTGTGAGGCAAGTTGAAGGGAAAAGGGAGAGATGTGAAACATTAGGCAAAAGACAGAAGAGCATGCAGGTGTTTCAAAAACGATTTGGGGCGATGGTCAACACAGTCAGCAGCTTCAGTGAGAAACTTGAAAACCCTTACCACTCAACTGTTGCATCAAAAATCGCAAGTCTTCTCTAAAGCATGAATCAGTTAAATGTAAACACATGGACATGATAAACATATATTTGATCAAATGTGACTTGCACATATCATTATCTTTGATGCCCATTGCCAGTATGTTGTCTCAGTTTTGTCCAAGGGAACCACCTGTAATAAGATGTATATACACCTCTGCTGTATACGTTCTACTGTTCTGTATGAATGTGGGCACAAATAGAGTCAGTCTCTCTTGTGTGTCTCCCCCAGAGGGCCCAACAGGAGGAGCTGGACAAGATTGAAAAGCACATCAAGTCCTCAAAAGACAAGGAGAATGCCAAACCTCTGGACAAACCTGAGCAGTGAGTTGGTGTTTTCCCTATGAAACTAATGAGCAGACAGTGGTGAATGCTGTGTGTCATTCTGTAAAGACTGTAAAACACACAGGAGAGAATAAGAGATGGTAGAAGAGTTGAATCCAAAGCAGCTGGCATTTCCTCTTTTGTTGCAGATTTCTCCACCAGCTCTCCCTCATCCCAAACTTCTCTGGCAGAGTCTTCTGCATCCTCTTCCAGTCCAGCTTCTCTGAGTGCATGTCGTCCATCATGAGGAAACTGGACACACTGCAGAGGGTATGCAAGGTGAGGCAAACTCTGCAAAAATAACGTTTTCACATGGATCAAATATTAAGTATCAGCACTGAGCTGATCTCTCAGCACTAAATCTGACTCAGCTTCTCTGGGTTCACTCTCCAGCTGAATGTTGAACACAGTGTTCTCTCCATAAATGTTTGTGTATTTTATATTAAAATGAACAAAAATTTCTACAGATTTGGTGAGATGTCTCCAAGACACTTTGCCTGCCCCCTTATTCCTTCCCACCTTCACTTGGTGTTTCATGTCTGTCTTTGCAGTTGTTGCAGGACAGTGAGACGGTGAAGCAGGTTCTCGGTCTGGTTCTGGCTTTTGGAAACTTCATGAATGGTGGTAATCGAACCAGAGGTCAAGCTGATGGCTTCACCCTCGATATCCTGCCCAAACTCAAAGACGTCAAGAGCAGCGTGAGTAAAGGCGCTGAAACAAACTGCACTGAAATATATTACCTTGAACCTGAGGGCATACAGCCTTTTTTTCTGATTATACAAAGAGAAAATAAATTACTTATTTAATCTTACTTATTTTTTTTATTGTTATTTTACACACACACAAAGGCCCGAAATAAACACATGCACACACATAGAGACCCACAGACATACAGATGTAGTGGAGATATAGCAGAGTGATGGTTAGGTGCCCCAAGCTGTTAGGGGTTTGGTGCCTTGCTCAAGGGCACCTCAGTCGTGCTCAACCCAGGCCAAATCTAGTATCAGTAAAAAAAAAAGGAGTAACAAATAAAGTAAAAAAACAAAACAGAAAGACAGAGAAACATAAATCCATATCATTTCTCCTCAAGCTGTTTCAGAAGCTGCAAATTCAGCTTTAAACTGTATACACTGGTTAAGACAGAGGTGCTAGTAATCAACAGGGCGTATGTCTTTAGTCACACATTTTTATTCCATGCTCTTATAGCAGATTTTCAGTACAGTAATATACAGTAACATATGCAGCATCAGTATCAAATAATAGGTGAATTTTTAAAGGAACCGTTCATCTAAAATCAAATCACAAATATATATTTGTCTTCTTACCTGTTGTGCCATTTATCACTCTGTATTGTTTTGGTGTGAGTTGCCTAGTGTTGGGGATATCGATTGCAAAGATGTCTGCCTTCTCTCCAGTACAGTGGAAATAGATGGCACTCCACCTAAAAACACAGCGCTCCAAAAAATTATGGGAAAACTCAAAGCACACATCAGATCGTGATGAATAAATTATTCAAGTTGAAAATCTTTACTGATGTACATTGTAGAATTTGTTAAGAACAAAATGATGAAACAACAGTCAACAGAAACCAAAATAATCAACCCACTGGGGGCTGGATCCAAAATTACACCAAAAATCAATGTGAAAAATTGAAATCACAGGCTGATCCAACATGAATTTTATCATGGCAACTCATGATAAAAGTTGGTGGATGGTATCCTTAGCCCATAAGAACCCACTGTGACACAGGTGCCACACATCCTTTAAATGTTCTGGAAAATTCCATAAACAGCTTTCTCCTTGACTTTAACTCATGAAATCCCAGAGTGACACATACTTAACATCCTGGTGGATCATGTGACAGGTCATGTGATTTGGTCTTCCCACAACAACATTTCCAAGATGTCTGTGTGCCAGGTTACCACTAGGGGCAGAGCTAGCTAAATTTAAAAAGCTTGTTTTTGGTTGCCAAAGGTAAGATTCAAACCATTTAAGAATTGTAATGCTTACATAACAAGTCCTTTATTACATTTAACCTGATGTGAACACATTTCATGAACAAATTGATATAAAACAAGTCAGGTAAATATCGTTGTGACATATATGTCACATCGGACCTTTAACCTTAAAATTGTCATGGGAAACCTATTGTGACATATATGTCACAATAAGAATTTTTTATGATCTGCTCAGTTAACTTAACTTTTTCAATGATATTTAGTTAATACATTTTATATTGTTCAATTCAAAGCATATTAAAACAAATGTAAACAAAAAATCACATTATATGAATCCAATTATTAACAAAATATATAAGGAAACCATTTTTACCCATCAGTGAATAAAAAAACAGACCCTATATCACTTTGTTCTACCTTATATCATTTTAAAATTTAATGAAAATAAATAAATAATAAAAATTGAAAAGAATAATTGAAAATTGTAATTTATTTTTATCTGCATTATGGATAAGAAGCGATACAGTGTTCAGGATGCACTGACAGTCATCCAGGGAGACGACAGTGACTTTGAGGGATGTGAAAGTAGCTCAGATGACGACCTTGAAGACCCTGATTACACTCCCAGCAACAAAGACATGGAGAATGACAAGTCAAGTGAGTCTAGTGATTCAGACTGCAGTGAATCAGGTGATTTAGATGAAGTACCTCAACCAAAGATGAACCCTGGACAGCAAAATACAACTA